TGAGACTGAGCCGAGCACTGCAGCAACAGGCCACCCGGCGCCGGGGGGCGGCACCGCATTCTCCGCTTGTCGTGGCTGAGACTCTGCCCGGCTCTGACTGCGCTCGTGCCCGGCTGGCCCAGGCCATTTGTGATGACGGTCGGAAGCCCTCGCGGAAGCGGCTGCAACTCGAGAGTACGATGCTCGGAATAAGCGCAGGATTGTGTTCTAATAGCTGTGGGCGGATTTGTTTGACATCGACTGTTGGCTTGCGGCTGCCGCGCCGCCCGCCTGTGATGGGCGCGTGTTCTGTTCTCTCTGCAGGGCTACACTCCTCTGCACATCGCCATGCAGTACGGCCACGAGGACGTGTTCGACCTGCTCGTCCACACGTACGGTACGCCGGGCGTTAGTGGAGGGCGCGCAGCTACCGCGCTCTCCTGGCCGCCGTCGGAGCGACGCCGGCGTCCGCGGCGCGACGCCGCCACCGCCGGCCGCCGACGGCCGCCGTCAGCGCGCGCGATAGGGGCCGGTGTTTGCGCCGGCGGCGTCGGCGGCACGCGCCGCGCGGCGCCGCCGCCGCCGCCGCCGCCGCGCCTGCACGCCTGGCCGGCCGGCGCCCCCCGGGGAGCGGCGGCGCCGGCCGTTCTCGGTAGGCGGCGGCCGGCTCCGCGCCCGGCCGCACGGGCTGTTTACGGCCGGAGCCGGCCGGCTGATGGGTTTATTTGGTCTCAGGAGTGCGGCAGGCCGCCACAGGCGGCGCCGCCGTTATAAACCGTGGTAACTGGCCGCAAACAAATGTCGGTGCTTGTGGGAATCCGAAAACCAACCCTTCTTTGATGGTTTTCGAGCCATTGTTGCTGATGGAAAATTTTGGAGGACGATATTTGGAATAGACCCACTGCGTTCTACCCCACCGCGAGGTTAACGTGTCGAAAACTTAAACGTCATTTGTTGCAGAAGAATATCCAGTTTCGCCACTCCTGCTCTCATTATTTACAAATATGTGGTATATTTAAGAAACAACACTAATTTAGTCACCTGGTTGGCACCGCACTTGGAGCAAAACGCGGCGGCTGAAACGGTACACTTCGCAGTTGTCAGTAGAGTTGTCACGGCCCGGTGTTTGAATAGGCTCGGATGTAGCTGTCCTGTGTCCTGCGTTACGTACGGCAGAACAGTGCGTCTGTCGTTGGGATGCCGAGTCGCGGCTGCATTCGGGACCTCTGCCGGGCCGATGTACCCCGCGCCGCCGCTAACCCGCCGTGTCCCTGCCCCGACCCGCAGGCGCCGACCCCAACATGCGTGACTACAGCGGCAAGAAGCCGCGGCAGTACATGGTGCGCGAGGAGACGACACTCTCATCGGAGGCGTTCCGGAGTAAGTACGCCGCCTCGCCGCTGTCGCCGCTGCCGTCTCCGGCGGCGGTGGGGCCGCCACCGGGCTTGGCCGGGCCGACGGCGCCCGCCGCCGGCGCCGGCAGCCGGTTCCAGTACCCGCCGCCGCTGCCGGCGCCGCCGGCGGCCGGCTACCTGGAGAGCCGGCGCCGTGGCCTGGGCGGCGGCGGCTACCGGCTGCTGGGGCGGCCGCGGCGCGGCGGCGCCGAGTCGGCTGCGCGGCCGTGCAGCGGCGACGGCGGCTGGCGGCACGCGCTCAGGCAGAGCTTCCGCGGCGCGGTCCGGCCGCCGCCGGCGCAGCGCGCCTCGCTGCCAGCCACGCTCCGCGGGGAGCCGCCGTACGGCTAGCGGCGGCCCGCGCGGCTCTGGCTCCGGCTCCGGCTCCGGCTCCGGCGCCGCGAGGCACGGGCCGTGCTGCAGTGCCGGCCGGCGCGCTGAGGCGGCAGGGGTCGGCCCGGTCTGATAACCCCGCTCAGGGCCACCCGACTCACACGGTGGTGGACCCTGCCCTGACCAGCGCAGCCGCCTGGGACGGAGCGGCCTGACCACCGCCGGTGGCTGGCACAGGACCGCACTAACAGCTTCAGAGGTCATTGACGAGCAGCATGCGGTGTATAATCGGGACTCGGCGCACCGCACTGGGATTGTGTTTGGCCTTTGCCGTTTTTATTTCGTGACGCTGGCATGGGATTGCACGCTGTGGCCGGTTTTTTCGTCGCCAACTTCGAACGCATGGTATTCGGAAGGGTTTGGAGATATGCTTATTGCTGGGGTGATAGCAAGAATAACGTCATGTATCAGGACGTGAGGGACATGGGCAAGTGTTCATATTATATGACAGGGTTTAATACCCTGTCTCATTGTGATGAAATGCTGCCGAAAAACGTCGCCGATCATACGCTTGCACCCCTGTCTGTTACAATCGGCGCAGACTTGGTTAATCAGCTGCAGAGTGTATGTTAATCAGCGTCTCGCCCACTTATGATCTCTGTTAACCGCATGTTTTTGCTCGGTTCGAACGGGTCTGTTATTCGTCCCAGTCAGATCCAGTTATCATCTGATTTGTGGAGGCTAGCACCCGCTTATTTGGGTAGCATTTAGAGACAGGCACTGGTGAACACTACCGTAGTGCACATATATGCGCCTTATTCCAAACGGGCCTGGCCGCCGTGTCCATAGCAGCTGCGGCGCTCTGTAAACACTTCTTTGCGCCACTCTTGTGTTCTTCCTTTGGGAATGGCTGCCTGGCGATCGCTGTACTCGGTGTGTGCCCTTGATACGCTCCAATATATAGTCTAACCGTTGCCGTGTTCCAATACGGTGTGGTGGTGGGCGCCTCTGGCTGCATTCTCGCACCGCATGCTCGGTAGTGCCGTAACCGCCTTCAGTTGAGAGAAGGGACGCATGACACTAACAGGTACGTCATACCACGTATGCACGCGATGTTGTGCGTACAGCAAGCTTATGTTGGATCCCGCTTTTGGTGATTCGATTCTGACACCAGTCTGACACGAGTGTGGGTCGTCGGCCTGACAGCTCGCAATCAGCGCGTCATGATTCATGATTACGCTCTCTGTATGAGTGGGCTTCAGGTGTCGCGGGGTCGATGTAGTATGTCAGAACCATAGTTGTATGGTTGCATGATAGCGATGTGACGTCGGTTTGTCAAGCGTCTACATTTTTATGCAAAACGAGTATTTCCGTTGTCTATAAGACGGTCCGAAATCTAAGTGGTGCTCACCGTCTCTCTGTGCGAACGCTCTACGATTGTGTTTGAGTACTCGAATTAAACGCAATCTTGCGGTGTCATGATTCATGATATGTTCCACGTCAGCTTGTAACAGCCCTATTCTGTTTTCAGAGATCAAGAAGAAGAGGACAGCTGGTGAGTTGGCCACCTGCCTATCTACGTGCAGGCCGCATACCTGTAGCCCTCTCAGGATCGCAATCTGTGTTTTGAGCCGCTATGAACAGAAAGCACCGCTGTGGCAGGGCCGCCTACCCGCTGCCTCGCTGTCGCACCAGCTGTGGGTGCGGGCGCGTGCCTGTTGGCTGACACAGACGCTCCGGCTGCGGGCGTGGGCCCGTGCCTGTGTCCTGACACAGCGGCTCCTGCTGTGGGCGCGGGCTGGTGCCTGTTGGCTGACACGGCCGCTCCGTGGGCGCGGGCCTGTGCCTGTTGGCTGACACAGCCGCTCCGGCTGTGGGCGTGGGCTCGTGCCTGCTGGCTGACACGGCCGCTCCGGCTGTGGGCGCGGGCTCGTGCCTGTTGGCTGACACGACCGCTCCGTGGGCGCGGCCCTGTGCCTGTTGGCTGACATAGCCGCTCCGGCTGTGGACGTGGGCTCGTGCCTGTTGGCTGACACGGCCGCTCCGGCTGCGGGCGCCGGCTCGTGCCTGTTGGCTGACACAGCGGCTGCCTGACGCAACGCCGTGCAGCGCTGTGTCACGCTACATGGTCACCTGACGAGAGCCAGGCCCAGTTCGTGTGTCGAGCCGTCGGTGTTTGACGGCTGCACTAATGGCTTGCGCCGCTGCGGCGCTGGTAAAGGACCGTTTTGATTAATCGCGACAATGCGCACAACACAAACGTAATGCACACGATACGTAAGCGTCTACCGTTTGTGGAAGCTACTGACATTGATTTGGTCTCGTGTGTGTGTTCAACGGCTGGGTTACGTGGCGTCCATTCATGGTCGCGATGACAACTACCAGCGGCCGTCGCGTGACGGGCGGTCGTGTGATGATCTGTCACTAGCGGCGCGGCGTCCGCCGGCGGTCGTCCAGACCCGCCTCCGAGCGGGTCTCGGCGCACCTCCAGCCGGCAGTGTTTGCGCACCGTGCGCACTGTTACTCCCCCGCCGTCGGCCGTCTAATTGACGCTGTTGTCGCAGAGGCGCTCGTCGTAGATTAATTCGGTAAGCGCGCGTGTAATTAATCTGGAGTGGCGGCGCGGCGCGCCTGTAATGAGAGGCCGCGCGGCGTCCGGCGTGCGCCCCGGGCCCGCGCCTCAGTCGGTCTCCCCCGGGAGGCGTGGAGATGGTGAGGCAGCGCGCGCCACGGCCGCCCAGCAGAACGGGAGTTGAGGCGGCGCGGCAGCCGCGGCGGTACGGCTGCCTCCCCCCCCCCCCCGCCCCCTCCCCTTGTCGAGCCATCGCCTTTACTGGGGCGGGGAGGGGGCGGGGGGGGGGGGGGGAGAGTGATAGGTGCTTCTCTGCTTCTCACCTGCAAAACCGCCAGCTTGGCTCTACGGCTGTTATGTTTTCTCTTGAAGGTAGTGGTCTCGTTCAAATTTAACGCTAACTGAAATGGCCAGCTGTCTTGGAAGATCATATAGAAAGAGACAAAAAACCGAAGATTATTAGCAAAAAGACGAAAACTACGTACCAATTCTGCCCTCGCGTCAACAGCAGAAGTAGCGCCAAGACGCAGCCTTCGACCACGTTACCGTTAAGCCTTCACATTCGTATACCTACAATTTCCTTTAGTAGAGTGGTTTGCAGGGTCTCGTGCCTTGTGGCGGGCAGTGGGCGGCAGGCACCCCGCGCGTCCCGACACGTCATCGGCGGACTCGACCGGCGGCCGAGCGGCCTCCTCACGCCGACGCCCTCTCCCCAGACAAGGACTCCAGCTTCCTGCGCATCGGCTCGCTGAACGTGCGGGTCAAGCGGACCACCGAGGCGTTCAACAGCCTGCTCTCCACCGGCCTGAACATGGGCGACCGACTGCACCGCAGCTGGGGCTCCTCCGACAGCGTCAACGACGTGAGCGCCCGACGCGCGGCCGGCGAACGTCAGAGCTCAGAGCTCAGGGCTCAGAGCGGCGAGCGTCAGAGCTCACCGCCCCGAGCTCTGGCGGCGCATGGCGACGCTGTTTCCGTGGTATTCCTTCGCCGAAAGGAACCAAATGTCTACAAACAAACGTCACTGTTTCACGCCAGTGTGGGTTCGTAGAATGCGGTTTGAACAGAACATCCGACGATTTATTGTGCCCAATCCGGAAGACATTTTGCGTGGTGCGAACGCGGTTATATCATAGTAGTTCAATGCAACCCTTGTAATTGCATCTAATCCACAGTATCCCAAGCGCAGTAGCCCAACTGGGCTGCTCCTACTTTTCATTGTAGATGGCATTGTTAAACATTTGGTTGATCTGTTGGGTGTGCCCGTGTCATCACCGTGCCGCCGCACGCCGCCTGCCTGGACAGCTGTGTTGCGGCCGTCTCGGGCTGTATGCGGGTGCCGGACATGCCTGGCCGCCCCTGACGCCACCCTCCCTCAGGCCGACCGCGACCTCATGCCGCCGCCCAAGTTCAGCATCAAGAAGCGCAAGTCGAAGAAGCCGCAGGACTTCCAGAGCCTGAAGTCTCGGATCTCGGCGCCGATCCTGCAGGCGGGTGGCGGCCTGCCGATGCCGGCCGGCGGCGGTGGCGGCGGCGGCGGCGGAGGCGGGGCCGAGCCGGCGCCGTCCCCGGCAGCGTCGCCGCTGGCGCCGCCGCCCGACGACCGGCGCCACTCCGAGGTCGACCTGGCGCGTCGCCTCAGCGACGACGTCGTCAGCCAGGGCGGCTCGCTGCGCGGCGACGACTCCGACTCGGACTACGGCTTCGGCTCCGGCTGGGTGGGCTAGGCCCGCCGCTGGCTGGGCCGGCTGGGCCTGGGGTCGGCCGGCTCGGCGGCGCGGGCGCCAGCCGGCGCCGGGGCCCGGCGCGCGCCGCCCGTCCGACGGTGGCCGCGCCGGCGCCGCCGCGACGCGCGCGAGGACTGACCGGCTCGGCAGTGGTGTACGGGCCGGCGCGTCGCCGTCCAGGTGGCGCTCGTGTTGGGCGCTGTGTGTGACGGTGGCGCTACTGGCGCAGCTGTGATTTCTCCGCCGAGGGAGCAACGAGAGTCACTGTGTCTCTGTTGTGAGTAGTGGTGGGGCTGTTTCGCGCATAGGTTTATGATGATCGCCTCGAAAAATGTGCGTGCCGCTGGTTCGCGCTGGGTCGAGGGCTCATGGATATGCTGGGCGCGTATCGTTTCCTGCGTGAAGCTAGTTTGGTCGGCCTGGTTTGGACGGCATTGTCTAGTGTTAGGAGCTGCGGTGTTATTTCTAGTATTGCAGCTTTCAGTGTGGCTAATCGTCTTACTCTGTTTGTGTTCAAGCGATTGCTGTTTATGGAAGCTATGTAGGCCTAATAGGCTAGTACTCAACGTGCTCTGTAATCTCAAGGATCGCTACTTTGAATCTCAAGCTCTGGTCATTCACTGTCGCATATCCTCAATACTCCTTTGTTTGGCTGCTTAACTGATGCTTGGACCGACAACGGTCAACGAACCTCGCCTGAAGCCTGTTCGTATGCACTCCCCATCTGCCACCGGCGAACGGATCGGGCTGCGAAGGACCGCCCACCTTTCAACGATTCCGTCCAGCAACGCATTCAGGGGTGCTGCACACGGCCCTCTCTTGAAAACGAACTCCGGCACGGGCGGATCTGTGTGGGGTCTGGTCCCGTTACGCGCGCCGCAATCGGGAAGTACAGCCTCGTCCCGGCGCCAGCGGGGCCGGGCCGGGGTCCGGGGTCAGTAGAGGTCACCGCTGGCGCCGGCGGCCTCCAGGCAGATGCGGGGTCGGATGTCGGCGTGGCTGGCCGCGGCGGTGTTTCGCCCAGTCAGACCTCCTCCGGGCAGATGCGGGCGCGGATGTCGACGTGGCTGGCCGCGGCGTCCACCCGGCCGAGCCTCCTCTGGGCAGATGCCGGCGCGGATGTCGACGTGGCTGGCCGCGGCGTCCACCCGGCCGAGCCTCCTCTGGGCAGGCGGCCGACGGCTGAAGTCTTCCATGCGTCACATGTCGCTGTGGGGCACTTTCCGCGGGTGTGTAGGCGAATGGTAGCCGAAATGAGTGTTGGCCCGTAGTGGACGTTTCTCTGATGACGCTTTTCGAGAGTGCAAACTCGACACGTGCTGATGGATGGCAGCTGTGGTGGAGGCTCGCGGCCGGTGTCGGTGTCGGTCGCGCCAGCCGAGGGTCGTCTCCACATGTCGCCCACGTTGTTAATACACGTCATTCGTCGCTGTTCTGTCCTGCTCCCTGCATGGCGTTGGCCGGCGAGGCGCCCGATGCGACGGAAATCACCGAACTGGACAGCGGACTGGTGGCTCTCGCTGCTCTTTGGAGTGGGGCGAATAGAATATCGCGGACCCGCTCGCCCGGGAGACGAGCAGCCAGTGTCAATCTTCGATTATGCCGCGGGCGGCTGCTTTCGGCGTGGCTCGAGCGAAGCTGCCGCTGTGGTGGCCGGGCTGCGCAGAATGCACGCATGACCTCATGCATTTGCCGGGCCCTGGTGCGGTTCTCGGACGACTGTATTGCTGGCGACAGATCTTCACGGGATTTCAGCTGCAACATGGGAGTGGTTTCAAGCGCGGGAAGTTCACGCCGCGTTGAACTTGGGCATTTCTGTGAACACTGCAATTTGAGCCCGGCTATAAAGCGGATTGTACTGAAGTTCCTGACCCGGATGGATTGTCCCATTGATAGGTTGCCAAATACATGGGCTCATACTTCCTCGGTATACAGGATCCAGTGGGTCGAATGACGCCAGGGTGTTCTAGTTTGCATAACTCACGTCTTCCTCTTGTTCATCTGGAGTCGAGTTTCGGTGGAACACGCTTCGGTAATGCAGGCGTGGAGTTAGGGAGGATGACCTGAGTTTTGGACCACGCTCCGTCCCCGTGCAAGCCAGTCTTCGGAGCATGCGGATTACATACGCGGTCATATCGGCTGGTGGTGGATGTGGCCGGAGGCAGACAAAGCTTCATGAGCGCGAGTCGTTTGCTGTTCGCGTGATTCGGGCGCAGTCGCGAGAGTCTCCAGCCGTTCTCCCGACACGTTTTGAGCATTGACAGAAATATCACCCCTACTTGAGGGTTTTGAAGTGGGATGGACACTGGTACATTGAGCGGCGTGTCTGAATTATATTTAGAAGTAACTATATCCCGAAGGGTTTATTTCCCAACCTTTACTGGTGGCATGCGAGAACTTCAATCAAATTTAATGACTTTAATCAAACCCATATTCGATGTGTGATTTATTTTCGAGGTATGACGTCACATCATCAGGTGATGGCACGCCGGACATGACATCACCTTATTAAGGGATGGCATATGACGTCACCTCATTAAGTGACGGCATACCGGATATGACGTAGGGAGTCAATCCATGTTCTATATGGCGCGTGTTTTTCCTTTGCTCCTCCCTGGCACGCAACGCTCCGACGCGCATGATGTTCGGGTAACACGTGAAAGGAATGTTTCACATTTAACTACGCTGAAGCAAGAGTATCAGATCTGATGAAACAAGCTCACTTGTAACTTTCGGTAGATTTTTTAGGTTGAAAAGATTGCTCTTGACGGCAAAGTTTTCTGTTAAGCAAATATGCTCCTCAATGCGTCAAGGTTTGATTACGTCGTCGTACCTTGCACACCGTTGATTGAGAGCCAATTGACGGCCGTGATATCTGGAAATCGCGCTCACGAGCGGCATGTATGAACGCCTCCACAATTACACTTTTTGGTCTCGATTGCCATATGGCTTATGGAATGGCAGTGCTTGAATGACATTATTATCAGGTCGTGAATGTCAAGATGGCTGAAATACCCTCCCCGACATACCTTTCCCAATTTTCGCAGACGTGCAGCTCGGAAACTAGCGGCGCTAGGTTATAAGACGGGCAGGATTGTGAACAGCACCAAAAGGTCTTCAAGATGGCTATTTTAGTTCAAAAACTCATGCAAGTGTGGAACACCCACTTAAATATTTGCCCAAACACCCCTCCAGACGCTCGTTCAACATGTTGGATATGCGAAGGTCGCGACCAAAATTTATCTTCTTCTGCGAATATTGTCTGCGTTTTGTCACGCCAACTGCAGCAAAGGACGACGATTAAAGATAAAATGGTGCATCGGTTTAAGAAATCATCGGTCATTTGGACCCGGCCAGCATAACATCTCTGAAATTTTGTGTGGTAGTTCTGTGCACAGCAACGTAAATGGCAAACAAAACAAGTGAATAAGGTGTAATGGATGTAGTCATGTGTAGTGACTACAAAACAAAATCGTGCTTACGGTCTAATCAGTTATTTTTCAGCTGTTTCTGACCCCTTTCTGAATCTGTTTTATTGACCCCGCAAATGCGTCGGATGCCTGTCATGAGAGATCAATATCAATGAGCGCTTTCTACCAAGTTAAGGGCTAGGACCCTGTATTGGTGTGACTTCCAAACATCTCCACACAACAACCGCGCAGTCATGTCGTGCTCGTCTAGCAACCGGTCCAAAATGGTCAGGGGTATGATCAGTCTGAAAACATCAACGATAAATCAAAGCCGTGCTCAATGACAACGAAATTGATGGCCCATTGCTTAGTCTGAAAAATGCACGTTGACCGTCGAATTTGAAACAGCTTTAATCTGCGGACATATGAAAAGCTGTAAATATTGCAGAGACGTGCACTTGATTTCGCCTCGAAAACAATCGTGGACTCGATTGCAACGTCCACTCCCAGCGCATGGGGTTGACTCCGGCTCTGGTTTTGAATATGATTCCACAGCTGGGAGTTGGCCCCGATTCTTACCAAGGGATATATGGTCCAATATGGGGATCGATTATGATGAAATAACTCCGGTGAGAATAGTGGGGAAGCTCTTTCCACGGATGCTATGTGACCTTAATAGGACGTACGTGTTCTTCAAAGAGCGGCTATATATGTATATATGTATATATATATATATATATATATATATATATATATATATATATATATATATATATATATATATATATAGACAGGACACAATATAGACATGTCAATTTGGTGCACATATAAATCATCAGGCTCTCAACACAACCTCTTAACTATGTATTTCAATTGGAGTCGGTTCATTGATAATTTGGTAGACTCCTGATGGCGCTGACTCATAACAAAAGTAGAAAGGAATCGATTCCACTCTGGCTCAACGAAAACCTCGTCGACACAATATAGACATGACAATTTGGTGCACACATAAATCATCAGACTCTCAACACAACCCTTTAACTATGTATTTCAATTTGAATCGGTTCATTGATAATTTGGTAGACTCATGATGGCGCCGACTCATAACAAAAGTAGAAAGAAATCAATCCCACTCTGGCTCAACGAAATCCTCGACGACTCCGAAGTCGACCTTGCTCTATCCGCACTAGTCTGGTGGCACAACGGGCTCGTCGGTTCTGAAGCTGACTGGGACCCTGTCCGGACTCGGAGTCCTGATGGCACAAAAGCCTCGTCGACTCTGAAGCTGACCGTGACCCTGTCCGGACTCTGAGTCCGATGGCACAAAAGCCTCGTCGATTCTGAAGCTGACCGTGACCCTGCCCGTACTCGGAGTCCGATGGCAGGGATCTTACTTGAGCCCGTGAG